TGCTATAAATGTGGTTCATTGAAATTTGTGCTGGCAACCTGTCTTTCCTTCCAGTGTACATATTTAATAAATTTGTGTCAAAAAGTATAGGCTGTAATTGCCTCCCTTGTTGGTTTTGTAACCTGCTGGAGATGTGAAGGCGATCAATAGAACACTGACCTATTATAAAAATATGAACTTCTAAGTTCTTTTGAGGAAATTCAGCACACACCATAAATCAACAGAGTTAATTTCACAAAAAGGAATCTGGTAGATTTGGGACTTTCATTGCAAAAAAGATTCCATTCAGGTTCATTCATTGCTGAAAGCTAAACCAAGGGACTGGAGAAAGCAGGTCAGGATTATAGATGGTTTTCCTTCCTACCATGAATGTTCTCTGACTGCTTTCAGATGGATGATCTCTCCATGGGAGAAAATGACCATTTTTCCAGAGAAGTTTGCCCAGGAAGCTTCAGACCCCAGCCACTTCAGCACTTGGGGCTGTGGCCATCAGCTCTGTGTCTTGCTCCCATGTACAGTTGCCAAGCAGCCCAACCAGCCTCCCAGGGAGCAGGGGAAGCGGGCGGTGCACCAGCCAGCCTCAGTTCCTACTCTCTCGGCAAGGGGTGCAGGGGGACAGGCTCACTCAGAGCCAGCTGGCCACCTCCCGTACACAAGCCCCGCAAGTCGGGCTGGACTGCCTGCTTCCCGTTCTGTGTCTCCATGGTCCTTGGTGCAGCTTGCGGTGGAAGCAAACGCAGCTGGCACAAACAGCCCCTCGATGCAATGTTGCATTGCATCCTGTTCCTGATGCAAGGTTGCCAAAATTCAGTTAGAAGAAGTAAAAGGCAAACATTACCTCAGCTCCTGATGGAGAAGCTGTTTCAGCTCAAAGAAACCTGAGGGAGGGAGGGTCTGCACTGCTCTAATCTCACACATTTCAGCTGTCTGCAGGAAAGACTCACCCCCACCCCAGACCCCAGCCCAGGAAGAAAAGCAATAGCTCTTCAAGACATTTGTCAACTCATTTCCAGAAAGTCCCCTTCTACAACTAGGGATTCTGAAAAGACGAGGGGTAGGGGAGTGTCAGGAGCACTGGATTTAGTGACATCCTTCATGGTGACTTAGATGCTGGAGGGGTGGTCTGGGGACAGAGGAGCCTGAGGCATCCTTCGGCTCAATTCACACCCACCTAGAACAGTGCTTCCTCACCTTCCTCATGCCCTGGACCCTTCTGCTAAGCTGGTGAAGCCGATGGCCACTTCTCGAAGCAGTTTTTATAATGCATAAAATAAAACAGATCAGGTTATAAAGAAAACCAATTGGACTGGGATATAGTTATCAAAATAATTTAAAAATCTGAAATATAGTAATAAATGTGTTTCCTTATTAACACATTAATCAACACGATCTAATGGCTGTTCTAAAAACTACCTTCACTTCAAAGCAGTGATGAGTATTCATGACATTCCTAGATATCTGTAAAGTGATATAAAAGTAAATGATTTCTTTTTGGTGACAAATTCATAGGTGCTTTGTTGCCTACAGTCATAACGGAAAGGAACACCATGTTTCAGTTAGAGGTTAGTAAAAAGAAAGACTCAGTGTTTTTCCTCATCCAGGTTTAGAGAGCCTCCTGATTTCTATCCACAGACTTGTCTGTGGGCCCTGGGAGTCCGAGATTAAGAAGACCTTTCTTTTCCTGAGCTGGGAAACGGTGCACTAGAGACAAGAGGGCCAGGCCCCAACCTGGGGGCCTCTATACAGCTGGGAGACTCGAACTTTTAATCAGTCAGCTGGAGACTGTGTACTTCTTGCCTACTTTTCTACCTGCAGCGTCTTCCCACAAAGGCCGTTGCTGAGTAAGGGTGTCCTCTGGAGTTCTGAAGCACCCTGAGTCTACCCTTATGACCAGTCTCCTCGTCTGCAGTGTAATGACCTGCTTAGCCCATCTGTCCCCACCTCTTGCATGAGGCAACAATCATGGCTCATTAATCATTGTGTTCCTGGTGTCAAGCCCACTCATATATATTTATTGACTCAACAGATGAATGGGTGGATGAAAGCTGTGTTCATACCTAGCTGCTCCCTCTCATAAAAATACTCCTTGATTGACACCAGCAGTTCTCAACCCTGGTTATAGAAGTGAGACTTGCTTTCTGAGGCTTCAGAAAATAGGGAGACCCAGGATGCACCCCCAGAGACTGCGATTCCAGCAGTCTCGAGTGGAACCATGGCCCTTGTGTGTCTTTCAAACCACCCCAGGCACAGCCAGAGTTGAGAACCCACCGAGCCACAGAACAGCAGCTGAGGTGAGGGTGTAATGTTCCCAGATGAACTTCTTTCGTGGAGCCAGCAAGATGAAATTAGTGCAGAATTCTGAACTCTGCAAGGGGCTAAACACATAAATTGAGTTTCTGACCTTCAGAGTCAGGTCACAGCTCTGAATCCAGCAACATGAGTAATATCTGAACTACATTCTCAGACTTAGATGAAAAATCTTGGGCTTGACAGTAAAGACCGTGAAGTGAATTGCAAGCTCCACAGATAAACGCTCCGAGCTCTGAGGCCCCACAATTCCTGCCCTCATGGCAAAAAGTTCATTGAACGGAGCCCATCCTGGATAAACACGACCCTTTTGGGTACAGATTCCTAGCTCTGTGGTTTCCTCATCTACAAAGCAGAGATGATAGTAAGGCCAATCTCAAAGCATTGCTGCGGGAACTGAAAGATAGAATGGGGCAGAAAGCATTTTGTAAGTAGCCCAAACATGCTACCACGATTAACTCTTTCTTATAGGCCTACCTCAGTTTGCGTCACTTAACTTTACTGTGCTTTGCAGATACTGTGTTTTTAACAAACTGAAGAAGCCTGTGGCGACCCTGTGTTAAGCAAGTCTGTTGGCGCCATTTTTCCAACAGTATTTGCTCACTTCATGTGTGGGTCACATACTGGTAACGCTCACAATATTTCAAACTATTTCATCATTATACTTGAATTGCTGCAATCTCATGATAAAACCATCACGGATGAGGAGTTCCTTCTTATGGATGAGCAAAGACAATGGTTTCTTGAGATGGAATCAACTCCGGGCGACAATGCTATGAAGACTGTTGAAATGACAACAAAGGGTTTGGAACATTACATAAACAGACTTGATAAAGCAGTGGTGAGGTTTGTGAGGATTGATTCTGACTTTGAAAGAAGTCCTCTTGTGAGTAAATGCTATCAACCAGTATCACATGCTATTGAGAAATCTTTCTTTCAAGGAAGAGTTGATAGATGCAGAAAACTTTATTGTTTTATTTTAGGAAATTGCCACAGCCGGTCTTCAGCAACCACCACCCTGATCAGTCAGCAGCCATCCACATCGAGGCCAGACCCTCTGCCACTGAAAGCTCAGACGATGGGTAGCATTTTTTAGCAATCTTTTAAATTAAGGTATGCACACTGTCTTTTAGGCATAATGCTATTGCACACTCAACAGAAAACAGTATAGTATAAACACAACTTTTATATGCATGGGGAAACCAAAAAATTCATTTGACTCTCTTTATTGCAATGGTTTGGAGTAGAGCCTGCAGTACCTCTGAAGTATGCCCATCCTGGTTTCTACCAATTGAGTTCTTATAGGTGCTAAAGACCTTATGGATTACGATGCTACGTCAGACTCCCTGCATTCAAGTTCCAGCTCCCCTTACCAGCTGTGCCATCATATGCAAACTATCTAGCCTTTCTGTGCCTCAATTCCTCATCTGTAAAATGAGTATAATAGAAGTACATATGTCATTAGTTTTTGGAAGGTTTGGCTGAGTGCAGTAAGCACTTAAAGTACCCAGAATATCTTCTAAAACTTAAGCTTTGCATCAGAATGGCCCGGAGGGCTTGTTAAAACACTGATTGCTGGGTGCCTCCCAAGAGCTTTTGCTGCAGTAGATCTAGGCTGAAACTGAGAATTTGTATTTCTAATACGCTCCTAGGTGCCCATGATGTTGCTGGTCTGGGAATCACACTTTGAAAACCACTGGCTGAGAACAATGCCTGGCATGCAGGAAGCATCTAGTAAATGTTAGCTGTTACTTATCTTTTCCTGGGCTCTACTTTCTTAACCCCTGAGCAACACACTTTATGCTCCAGTGCCACTCAGTACTGCCTTCCTGTAGAATTCCCATTTGAATTCTACCTTTGGTGGTTCCCAAAGGACCCAAGATAAGCTGCACCAGCATCACATGGAAGCTTGTTTATAATGCAAGTTCCTGGGCCCCTGACCCACATCTATTGCATTGGGATTTATGGGGGTGAGGCTCAAAATCCTGGGCTCTAACGTCCCTCCAGGTGACTCTATTGCACACCAACTTTAGCAGAAAATCACCAAGACCACCACAACAGTTCTACTGAAGATATCTAGGGAGGCAGGACAGACTCAGGTCCAGAGTTTTTGGTTGAGCTAGAGACATGGCTCAGCTTCTTTGCCACCTTGTGGCCTTACAGGAGTCGTAACACTTAAGGCAAACAAAGTGCCTACAAATGATACCTGTTCAAGGATGTTAGCTGCCATTGTTAACCTCCTTTTCATCGTTACGATGCGTCCTGTCTCAAAACGACTTGAGGTAGCTTATTAAAAAAGACACAAATACTTAGGTGCACAGGACAGCTAAAACAAAGCCCATTTTTTAAAAAAAGGAAATAAAAATGTATCTCCTCATGGACAGGATGAGGGTTGGAACTGTTGCTGTATATGTCTGAACTTGAGTTTTGAACTTCCCCGTGGGCCAGAGCAAAGAGGGGAAATACAGAAGATGCATGAATCCCACTGCCTGCAAAGGGGAAGGAGACTGGCTGTCTTTCATCCCTCTAAATCTAGGAGAATCCGATCGCATTAACCTCTGCACCAAGATCCTGGCTACCAAGGAGGGAATTTCCTCCAGCAGCACTTTTTGTACCTGTTTCTTTAATTAATTCTCATCAAGAGCCACAAGTAAAATCCTTATATCCCAGAAGACGAGAGATGTTACACTCACTTTGGGTGCCGAATATCAGGGAGAGAGCGATTCAGGGAGATTTTATCGCTGACGTAAATGTTAAATCCATTTTCTCGGTATGCCTGATCAACTCTCTCAGCGTCGGTCATGGGGTAAGGTCTCCCTTGTTCTCCATTTCCTAGAAGCAAAGAGCAAAGTCAACGTTGCTAATTGAACAGGGTGGGGGAAGAAGGGTGAAAAATATAATTAAGACACAGATAAAACTTTATCCTTTAATACAGGATGGACCTCTAGATTTCGTGAGGTGGGTGTATAAAGAGGGGAGGGGAACGAGAATTTATTCAGCCAAAGCCATGTCACGTACTTGTTCTCATGTAATTCCCCCAGCAAGCCATGAGGGAGGATTTGCGAGCCCTCATTTTACAGATGGATAAACTGAGACTCAAGAAGGTTATAAAAGCAGGTCTGTGGGCTCCAAAGCCCATGCTTCCCTTACTCCGCCAGGAGCCCCAAACACCCCTGACCATGGAGTCCTATCACTGGGATGGGAGGCCGGATCTATTTCTGAGCTGACCAACCTTGGGCCAGTTACACCAACTCTCTGAACTTCAAATGTGAAATTGTATCCATGACAGAATTTGTGAACAATAAAACACATTCATGTCAGGAATAGGATGACTCTCTAGGCAAGGCAAAGTTTATATGCAAATAAAAATTGCCACAAATGATAAAAGATGCTCTGATCGTTTAAGCCAGCAAACAATTAATTAAGATCTGTACAGCCTAGGCCAGGATTCCCTGAAAAATGTGACTTTGAGTCATGGATTTGGGTGGATAAAGTGCTAGGTGTCCTTTCTCTGTACAACCCATTTGGGGAAAAAGACCCTGATGCTTCAGGCAATTATTCTCTGGGTTCTCAGGGTGCAAATGGTGAGTACAAATATCCACACCAACCGCTGCAAGAACAGCCCAAGAATCTGCATTGGAGAGAAATGGTCATAAAAGTAGCTTATTAAAAAACCGCCTCATCTTCTGGAGCCTTTGGTCTGAGCAACATCCTATTTACTTTGCAAAGTAAATGTTGACAACATCAGCTTCATGGGAAGGTGCCAGCTGAGAAGTGGGGCCAAGGGCTGTGCCTACAGCCTTGTGGCTCCAGCCAGATGAGAGAGAGGACACCGCCATCTTATAATGCTCCATGAGAAGACACTGCTGCCTAGCACCCAGGCCAGATTCCACAAGGGACACAGATGCAGCAAGCAGAAAAAGAAGAGCCAGAAGCATCTGCCTGAGGAGGGAGGTTTCAGGAGGGGGTACAGGGGTGCAATTCAGAGCTCAGGCCCTAGAGTCTGGCAGAGGACAACATGAAGCTCAACCCTGCCGCTTCCAGCTTTGTCATCCTGGACATGCCATTAGCCTTTCGATGGTCGGGGTTTGCTCTTTGTACTAATTAGGATAAGAAGGGCCAGTGTAATGATTACGGAGACAATGCCGGGCCAGGTGCCTGGCACAGAGTGAGCGCTCAACACAGCCTGGTTATTATTAATCTTCATACTGTTTCCACTGCTTACTCTCTTCGTGCTAGTTAGCGCAACAGTCTAATAATTCTGGTATATCTGCCTGGAGAATCATCTCTTTTCAAATGTTTCCCTTCCCAGCTTAAGCGGCACCCACCCCCCACTTCATTTTAAATCACTGGCTTATAGAAAAATGCATGCCATGTCTTTAGATTTCCCTGACCATCGGTTATTATATCAGCTCTATTTGGAGCCTTGTTGTAGTCTGTTGTTTTTTTTTTTCATAATGTAATCTAAAAAAAAAAAATCAATAGTGGTAGTGCCTTTAACTGAGATAAAACGAATAAAATACCAATCCCTCTATATCTATAGTGCTTTCAGGAATTGTAAGTTGCTTCAAATCTATCACTTTTCTTGTCACAACAACACCCAGTCAGTGGTGTTGGGGCTGCCCTCCTAACCCCTAAGTCCAGGCTCTCTAGAGATGACTTTCCATGTAATTTCTTTACAATCCCCCCACCCCCCACAACCCTTCCCAACGCCCGGTGTAATAGCACTGCTCCAAAGACTAATTAGCCAAAGAAAACCTGAGCCGAAGCCTGCTAAATCCATTCAGTCTTATGGCTACAGAGCTGGGTAGGGATCAACTCTGTCCTCTAGACTTGGGTTCAAGTCCCAAGGCTGCCTCTTTCTCACTGTGTGACTGCAGGCAGATTACCCTACATCTCTAAGTTATAGGTCCCTTCCCGTCAAATGGGCCACAAAGGGCAACTCGGGGTTTCACTGAGAAAATGTGCAAAGTGTGGAGCGTGGGCCTCCATGCTCACCGTAGATGTTTAATAAATGTTGGCTCTTCATTCTAGTGGTTAAAATATCTCATGAGGGGGAGACATCTTCTACCCCCCAATAAAGGTAGCAGGGCCAACCCTGAAGGCAGTGGACCTGGTGGTGTGAGTGGAGAAAGGGGTCAGCTAACAGATGAAGAGGTGGACCCCCAGGAAGCAGGGGAAGGGATGGTGGTAAACGGAGAGGGAGTCAACAGGAGGTGCAGACACATCTGCTAAACACACACACACACACACACACACACACACACACACACACACACACATTCTTCACACGACCTGCCGGCAGGCAATACTGCCTCCATACCTACGCGCTGGGCATCCCTCCTGATGGCTTCTTGGTCATGCCAATCCTTCAGCTTTTGCCCATCTCCCAGGAAAAATATCTTCTTCTGCTGATTGTGGGAGCCCTTAAAAAAAAAAAAGATAGAAACTGTGAAAAAAAAGGAAAGGAGAAATAAATTTAATAACAGAGACCCAGAGGTTGCACTATCTATGGGAGCTGTTGGTGTTGACTGATGGTCTGTCACCTTTTGTGCGTTTACTGATTCCCTCAATACACCTCTGTCAGTGCTGCCATCTGCCAGTCAGGCAGGCAAAGGTCCGAAGGATGACAGGTACACAGTGTCTACCTTCCTGGAACCATGAACCATCAGGAGAGAAAGTAGATGGACAGAACTTCCTTTCCCCCAAAGAAGAAAGCAGTAAGTGTAGCCCTGTCCAACAGAAATCTAATGCGAGCAAATTAGATTTGCCCACAAATGTGAGCCACACGTGTAACTAAATTTTCTAGTATTCACACTAAAAGAAAAAAACAAACAAAAACCAGATGAATTAGGTTTGGTAATAGATTTTATTTAACCCAATATACTCTGTCTAAAATATTATCACGGGGCAGGGGGGAACTAAGTTTGGATTCCGGTGTGTATTTTATACTTGTGTTCATCTTAATTCAGACCTTCCCAGGTGCTCAGTAACCACAGGTGGTTCGTGGCTACATATTGGACGAGGCAAGTAAGTGAATCTTAGATCAGGCCTGGAGAAAGGGCCCCAGGAATTCACTTCCACCTGGGAGAACTGGGAAAATTTCACAGACCTGAAGGCATTTGGGCTAAGCGTCAGGTAAGCAGAAATGAGAGGCAGGGCATAGACTTCCAGGTGTGGTGGAGAGTGGCAGAGCTGAGCCGGGCCTGAGGAGCTCTGAACACAGGAGTAAAGGCGAGGTCTTCTACGGTCCCCAGAAGAGCCCAGTCCTAACGAGGGTGAACATTTGGCCATTGTGTGCGGAGTGGATGAACAAGCAATTGGATGGCTGACAGCAAATGGGAAAATACAGCAGCCACTGGACAGCAGCCCTTGGGGACCAGGCTCTGGAGGCACGGACTGTGTCTGGGAGATGAGCCCATCCTGGTGTGCCCATTAGGAAGTGTTTCCCTAATTAAAGGAGTTGCATGCCACTGTCTGAGGTCATCAGAGGGCATCAGACACTTCCCCATGCCAACAGTCAAATCTAAACACTTGGCTCCAGGGCTCAGTTAGAACCTTCCCCAGGTAACACTGTGCTGCACGGCTGTTTAAATATCTTCCTGTGTTCACAAAAATGAGAATGGCTTCCACATCACCTTGCCCATTAAAAATCCTGCAGACATGTTCTCGCCCCTGTGGCATGCAGGGGCCAACAGTCCTATTTCCTATGTAATTAGCTATGAAGACCCGCAGCATGTGACATGCTGCAACATTAGCACTAACAAGAAGCCACCAGGATAAAATCATCCTCAAGACAATTTTTTAAGTCTCTGGCTGATCCTCATGTTAGCAGATTTTCCACAACAGCTCAGTATCCTTACATCAGCTCTAATGATAATAACCATCCTTTGCATTCCCTCTCCAACAGACCTCTCTGAGTTGCAAGAAGAGAATTCTGAAAGTTAGCATGCCAGACGTGTTGGTCAGAGAGGGAAAGGAAACTATGAAAACTAAGGCCACGTTCTCGGGGCTCTCAGAAAACAGTGAAGCTGCAGGCCCTTCAGCAAGTTTCCACTGCATCCAGCTACGTTTCCACAGGAGACATTGAACGCTGCTTTAGGACGAGGGGTTCTGAGAGGACGAGCTTGGACCCCTTTGAACCATGCCAGCAATGCACCTGTTTTCTGTACCGGAATTCCACATGGGATTTCACTTTAAAAAGGTCCTCTGCTAAAAACACATCGATAATCAATCTCCCAACAAAAGAACAAATGTATGTGGAAACTGATCAGGGCCACTTCCCTGTTTTGCAGAGCAGCCAAGCCTTGGCATGGGTCAGGCACCTGCCCAAGAAATACTCCATCACTGAAATGTCAAGAGGGATAGGTCAAGGGCTGTTTAGCACTCTCTTCTCCAGCCCTCCCTCCCACATCCTTTTCTTTCTCCTGCTACCCAAAGACTGGGAACTTCAGACTGCTCAGCTCACTGGTGGAACCAAGAGGCTCTGCAGACAGAGACTACCTTAATGGCAGACACCCATCTAAAGAGGTTCTCAAAGTGTGAACAGCACTGCCCCAGCTGGGAGCTTGTGAGAAACGTTAATTCTTGGGCCCTGCCCCAGTCCTCCTGAGTTAGAAACTCTAGGGGTGAGGCCTTAAGATCTATGTTTTAACAAGTCCTCCGGGGTGCCTGGGTAGCTCAGTCAGTTAAGCGTCTGACTCTTCATTTCAGTTCAGGTCACGATCTCACAGCTTCGTGGGTTCGAGCTCTGCGGTATGCTCTGTGCTGGCAGCATGGAGCCTGCTTGGGATTCTCTGTCTCCCTCTCTCTCTGCCCCTCCCTCACTCATGCTGTCTCTGTCTCTCTCAAAAATAAATAAATAAACTTACACACACATGCAAGTCCTCCAAGAGGTCCTGAGGCATGCTTAAGTTTAAGAACTACTGGTCTCGAATAAGGAGGCCACAATCCTGCCTGCTCTGAGCTGCTCAGACCAAACCTGGGCTCTAGTATCCAAGCTGAACAGAGATTTATCATCAAAGGTCACAAAAACCTTAGGTATGGTCGCTGACAAAAACAATCTGGTGGCTTCTGAGGCTTTGTTTTGTTTTTGCTTTGTTTTTGTTTGTGTGTGTGTGTGTATTTTTTTAATTGCCAGTGTAGGGGGAAAGGGAGATATTCTATTGTTTTATCAACATTTTTGGCTTCTCTTGAAAACTCAAAAGACATGTCAATGTTCAGACTGAGTTCCCTCAGCTCCTCAGCAAAGCTGAGCCACCAGAGCTGCCCTGCTTAGGCGAGGCAAGCCTCTCCAGTTTGCCGCAGTCCCTGACATTCCTTACTGCTTTTCATCTGTTTCCTATCTCTCATTTGTGTCACTTGCCTGGCCGTAGCAAGTCTGCAATATGCTGCAATATACAATATACAGTATTGTATAGTATACAATACACAATGCTGCAATTAGAAACTGTGCTATAGGAGGACTAGGAGACAAGAAGCCATGAGGGACACAGAAGGGGTTTTCTTGTTCTCTGAGGTCCTAAGGGTAGAATGTATGACAATGGCAGAGGTTATTCAATGACTGAGGGCTTAGCTTCAAATGCAGGAGAAATTCAAAACTTGGATCCGTACTAGGATGAAATAGGACCAGCTAGAAGGAAGATATTAGAGGAGGCCAGGAATAGGATACTTGGAAGTTCAGCAGGATGTGAAAGAGGGGAATCAAGGCTGGGTTGGGGCTAGTGCTTCTCAAAATGAAATCAGCAGGGGCGCCTGGGTGGCTCAGTCAGTTGAGCGTCTGACTCTTGATTTCGGCTCAGGTCATGATCTCATAGTTTGTGAGACTGAGTCCCATGCTGGGTTCTGTGCTGACAGTGTGGAGCCTAAATGGGATTCTCTCTCTCCCTCTCTCTCTCAAAAAAAATTAATGTGCAGTGTGATCACAGAGCAGGGGTGGGAGATTGTGGTAAACACCGAGTCTGATATGGGGCCTGAGACTCTGCACATCTAACGAGCTCCCAGGTGATGCTGATGCTGGTGGTTCATGAAGGACACTTTGGGTAGCAAGGGCCAGGTGGCCCTTGAAGGACACGTCAAGAGTCTAAAATTCCCTGAAAGGCTCTGTTTCCTCCATCTGTTCATAAAAATCTTCTTCGACATTGGAAACATGGCACGGGATTGAATTGCCCAGCTGTGACCTCATGGAAGTAGGCTCCTTGAATCTTGTTCTCAGAATGAACAGTGAATTGCTGAACTGACCGGGTGGAGAGTTAAGGTTCCAAAATTCTGGGAGTTTCACATCCTCAGCTTCTATCACCTGCACTGCCTTGCTTTCATGATGTCTGCCCCTCTGGAATGCTCTGTGGACAGGATCTATGCCGTTCGGGTCGTCCCATCAGCCCTTTCACCTCCCTAGACAAATAGGATGTCAGAGCCTACAGACACAGGGAGTTCTACATGCCTAAGCACATAGTTATAGAGGGTCCTCAAATATCCAAGCTAAGCAGATGCTCAGAATCAATTAGTCCACTCCTCCCCCATCTTACAGATGGGGAAGCTGAGGCCCAAAGAGGCCAAGCTACCCAACCAAGGCCACATAAGCAGGCAGAGGATAAGAACCATATTCTCTGACTCCCAGGCTAGTCTTCAGTGAAGAGAGCCCTTGCAGTGTGACCTTGGACAAGGTACAGAAGCCACAAGCACCCTAATTTTCCCACCTGGAAAATGGAGACAGCACTATCTACCCAAAAGGTACATTCAGATGAAGTGAGTAAATCACGAAAATAGGATGTCTCCCAAGCATTCCAGAGCTTCCACATAAACTGTGGATATCAACTCCTTTAGAATTTTAAGAACCTACTACTGTAAACTGACATCCTCTCATCAAATCACCTTGATACAGAACTCAAGGTTTGCTATTAACTGATTTACAATTAATAGGTCTGAGCTTTTGGTAAGAGAAAATTTGGGTTCCAATCCTAAAATCACAGAGTTTTCAGTGCTCAGAGGGCGCTTTTTTTATAGAATTTTTAAATTTTTTAAAATTTATTTCAGAGAGAGAGAGAGAGAGAGAGAGAGACAGTGTGAGCAGGGGAAGGTCAGAGAGAGAGAGGGAGATACAGAATCTGAAACAGGCTCCAGGCTCTGAGCTGTCAGCACAGAGCCTGACGTGGGGCTCGAACCCATGAACCATGAGATCATGACCCGAGCCGAGGTCGGACGCTTAACCTAAAGAGCCACCCAGGAGCCCCAGAGGGCGCTTTTAATCCTATCCACAAACCTTAACAAAAGTTGTGGTCAATTTCAAGTGGTTCAGGACTCTCTGAGGTCCATCCATGGAAACCCCATAGATAGATCATCCAAACTATCACCAAATACTTATCAAGACCCACCCTGTGCCAGGCACTGGGGATACAGGTAGCACAACACAAATCCTGTGTAAGTG